TATATTTCAAAACCATTCGAAAATAGCGTAAAAGACTTTATATACATAATTTAATATTCGAAATGTTAAGTTCAACATAAATAAATATAGGCGAGTAATTAGTTTTGCGAATAAGACAATTTGGGTTTAAAATATAAAGATTAATATCATTACCACTCATGTTTTTAAAAAAGTTCTTGATATAAATCATGATTTTTTGTTTATTTGAAAAATAATATTGTTTATTGATTCTGTGGATTAAATACAAAATTATACACAAAACAAAAAATGTAAAAGTAAAAAAGGAGTTGAGTTTTTGCCACAAGCTCTGATTTTCTAATCTCTATATCTTTGTAACCCAATGTCGTAGACCTTAGATATTTCAAACTATTAATACTTATAGATAAAGTAGTCTAAGTTTGCACCTTAAGATCGATTGCGAAGATATTGGAATCAGAAGATTTTAGTTTGTGGCAAAAACTCAATTCTTTTGAAAATGTTTTATATTTCTTGAAAGCTGCATCTCATGGAAAACTGTTCATAAAACAATAATTTGTCGGAGAATTAGGTTTTAATCAATGGGCTCAAATAGGTTGCCAAGTACTTTGGTACACTTCTGCAAACCCAAATATTTTCAAACTTATATTTAGCTATTTGAAAACACAAGTTTGGACTCTTTCTATCAAAAAGAATATATTTTTCATAAGAATTGTATTCATTGTAATTGTAAGTATGATTAATACAAATAAAGTTTAACTATAGGGTAATGTCCACATAGCCATACAAAGGGGAGGAGGCTTTCTCACTCACGGGAAGCCGTAGTACATTTGAATTTCCAAGCCGGGTCAACCATTCCGGTCCCAGTTTGTACCGTACCTAGCTCTATGGACAGGACTAGCCGGTGCAACAAGGTTGACGCAGTTAGACTTAATGCTTCATATTGGTTGAATTTCCTTTTACTAAAGGGGCAGAGGTGCGTGGACATTGTTTTAAAAGATTTCTCTCTGATTTTTTTTCTCGCAGGCCTGATTTTTCAAAATCTTTGTATTAGGTCCATGTGGGGTATCTAAAGTCACTAACTTTGGGTTTGGAAACTCAATTCTGGACGTTAGAATGCATTTTTCCCTAATACCTCAACCCTCTCTAAAAGGCTGATGAACCCCTCTGACTTAGCTGCTCTCTGACTTTTTGCATGCATGCAACAAATAGAGAGANTGGACATTCCCCCTTGAATTTAATAAGCAATGCTTGATTTACAACGGTAACCCTGAGCAACAGAAAAAATCGTCGCCTTAAAAAGTGTCGAATTCTGGTGATTTCCGTCCTTATCCCTATAGCATAAACTCACAGATTTTTCCTTTCAGCTTAAACATTAACCTTGTAGTCTGTCTTCCTTGTTTTAACCACAACAGCTGCTGAGAGCTCTTGTGCTGGGTGTCTTTGCCACAAACTCAGGTTTTTTAATTCCTGTATTTCAGCTACCCAAAATTGCAAAGATAAAGGGATTAAAAAAATTGAGTTTGTGATATTCTAAAAGTAAGTAAAAATATTTCTTTATTTCTCGACTGCTATCATGGTTAATGGTATATGCGCCCCGGAAGAAGATGATACAACTTCCAGCAAACAAATATCTAAAGAAAATTGACAAGATCTGGCAAATGTCTTCTACGAAATCTTTTCGGACCCAGAAATGCTTGCGAGCAAACCCAAGCTTGTAATATGTAATTAGATCAACAAAATAGTTTTATCGATTTTTATGGTCCATGCATGAAGTAAATAAAATCATATTAAATTGTAGTGTTAAGTTTTTAACTTGAACCTTAATATATGTGGCACTAAAAGATAAAAATAATTTGTTCATCGACCAATTCTAAACATCCAACTTAAAGGGGGGGGGGGCAGTTTATTTGCTCTAGAACATTAGTTTACCACCTTGAAATATCTTGACTTTCAAGAGATTGTATTATTTTTTAAAATTTTAAAAAATTAATGCTGTATGGTTGCATGACGGTCAAAAGGACAGTTTGAAATAGCCCGTCACATTGTTTTGTGATTTAAGCTGATATCTAAAACATTTTTGAAAAAAAAAACATGTTGCTATATATAGTCAAAAACAAAATATTTTTCATTTTAGCGACCTTTTTCGTCATTTTTTAAAACCTTCCTAGCACCCTAACCATTACAATTGATAGTCTGATACGATCATAAACTTGAGATTCCAATACAGTCTTTGTACATTATTATATTCTGATATCAGATAGAAAATGTTTGATATTCTAATAAACCTTATCTTTAATTCCAGTATTTAGGAGTGGACCCGTAGATAAGTGTATAGAAAGCGTGCAAAATCTGGGAGCAACTGATAAGAATGGGACAGGGAGTAAGGAATAGAAGGGAGATATAACTGACGAGGTTCGCCCTACCATATGAGTACATGCTTTGCAGACGGGTACTTCATTTGAATAAGAAATATTTGTCCTATGTACATTTACTGCAATAACCTATTCTGAATATTTCTTATACAAATGGAGTACCCGTCTTCAAAGCATGTATAATCATATGGTTGGGCGAACCGCGTCAGTTATATCTTCCTTCTATTCCTTACTCCCTGGAATGGGATTACATATTACGAGGCTCTTACTTCCCTCCAGGGTAAATACAAGAATCACCAAAATATAGAAGGAAAATACAAGTTTGAAGGGACTGTATTGTGTAATGTCAAAATACTCTACTTTTTTTAAGTGACACGTAAATTCACAACGATATTCTTAATTGCATTATCTGATGAATGAGTTATTTTTTTTTATCAAATGTAATTTCTTACAGAGACTGTAAAGGAAAAATGAAAGGGGGTATAGCATGAAACCTGAGAATCTCAGGCGTTGAATGATACATTTAAGACATCTATCTGATGTTCCTGTCTCGAGAAATTGATATAAAACGGCGTAAAAGGAATTGAGTCTTTGCAACAAATTCCAATTTTCTAATACCTATATATCTACAACCAAATTATTTAAACCTTAGATATTTCAAACTTTGATTGTTTGATATAAAAGAAGTCATAGTTTAAAATATCTGAGGTCTACAACATTGGGTTGTTAAGACATTGGGATTTAAAAACCAGAGTTTGTGGCAAAGACTCAATACCTTAATAAGAAAATTCATATACTATTTAATAGAAAGTTACTTTAGAGCTTACAGGAAACTTTTCATATTGTCAAATTAAACCAAGCCTAACTATGATTTTTCAGATGTCTATCGTTACTCTGAGAGTAGTAAACCCAATGATAATTGTAAAGAAGTTGTTACAAGGTTGACTCTAGTGGGTTTGAGTTTAATCAATCAAATCTTGAATTCCTTTCCTGCTGGCTCCATTCATCCACTCAGAGAACATCCTTACGGGCATTTTCGTAGACAAGATTATAGGAGATCCTTGCTAAGATGTTTGCTGAAATACTATTTGGATATAATTTGATGAATTTTCTATTTGCTTTGTTTTAAAATTATTGGTAATATGAAAGTCCTAACCCAGTTCTAATTAAATCTATTTTATGTTTTTAATTGTTTAATTATTATACAGAGATAACCAGAGAACTCAGGAAAATTATGATAAATTCAGTTTTCGTATCATTTTGGCCTTCAAGAACAATGTAGGTCATGCATTCTACAAGAAGGATCACTGTGGACCAGCCTGCCTAAGTTTGTGGCAAAAAAACACGATGAGTAAACTACAAGAAGATTAAACACTAGAGCTGTATCCTCGTACCGGTTTGAGTCAAGCAACGATAGGTCTTATCTGGGATTCATTAGGCTGTTTTTCTAATTGCAAAATGTGTGTAGAGCGGTGAACATTGAACAACCTTATCAAAAATGTGAATGCTATAATGGGCACAAGGTTTCCTGGGATAAACATTGATTGGATTGTTTAAAAATAACACCCGTAAAGTGTCATACGCTTTAATTTTGCTTTACGATTTTCTTTATAAATTCTCATGATCATGTTCGTATTTAAATTATGCTTTTTTCGTAATTATAGTTCTCTATATGACGATATGTTGTTTTCATTTTTTGGTTTCCAAGCCGTAAACCGTAAAAAATTCCAAAACGTTAATCGGAAAAATTCCGGTATCCATTTTATCCGGAATTCCACTTTACGGAATAATCTTCCGGACCATTGCATTTCCAAAGTGGATTTTTCCAGGAGTAATGGAAACCTTTACTTGCATCCGTTCATTGTTCGTATTAATTTCTTTCACGTTTGATAATCTTTAAACTGGACTGCAAAACAATTTGTTGCCTTTATGAACTAAAAACTTACACGGTCTGCATCTAATCTGCTCGTGCTAAGAGTTTATATCTCACTGATAAAACCAGAGCCATAAAAGAGATAGATTAGATATAGACAGATTTGGTGGATTGAACACATAGCTATTATAAGAGGCTGTAGAAAAAATGCACAATACATAATATTTGACTTTTGACTTTTATTTTCACTAAACATCTTCTACGGGGTGTCCCAAAAAACATGGGAATTCAGTGACGAATTCGATATCGTCTTTTCAAATAATTCTTTGATTTAGTATAGTGATACCTACTGAGAAAGCTGTAATCTGTAAGAGTTTCGTCTGCTATGTTTACATTTTGTTTGTTTATGTTTTGACTGCATACGGTTGTACTTAGTAAAACAAGAAAATTACAGTATACAAACAGAGTAAACTTGTCCGTATTCACTGTTCATTTTGCGGAGACAATTTAGACACATCTTTACAGTCTTTTACCCTTTTCATTAAATAAACTCTAGCAGACATAATAATATTATGGCTTTTGAAATTAGGTATTACAATACTAATTCATAACAAAGACGATATCGAATTCGTCACTGAATTCCCATGTTTTTTGGGACACCCTGTATCTTCTACGGCTTATACTTCCTTAGACGTCGTTCCTCTACTTTAAAAGACCCTATAGATGTTTCCAGAATTGGTATTTAGTGTATGCGAATACTTATAGAATAACACATTTGCAAACAAATCATTATAAACCCCAGCTTATAAAAATGTACCATTCATTGCAACATATAGACAGACAGAAAGAGAGGTAACATTTATGCTACATCATTGGTACGTCTTTGTGACCTCACAGTAGCTCCTTTAGTGTTCATCAAAACAATTTTGTTCTTTTTAATCGCTATTCAATCAGAGCCCGCGGTTTAAAAATTCGGGTAAATACGGCTCGGGTCTAAGCTGTCGTTGGGCCTTGAGCTTGGGCTTAAGCTTTCTGATGATATTTTCCACAGAGTTGAGTTCAAAAAACCGGTTTAGTATTCTATTTGGCAGATTTTCATGGTAGGAATTGGCGCATTCCGGGGTTTTATGAGAACAGAGATGGAATTTAAAGAATTTGAGCCGCGGTTTAAATCCGCCAAAACCCGGTTTAAATTCAGCGCCGGCTTAAATCTTGAAATATTTGATACAATTTTAAGTGGAACCAACCATATTTAAACCACGGCTTAAATTTAAACCGCCGCTCAAATTCTTTAAATTCGGCCACAAGACTCATCATTGAAAGCCTTAATCTCCACTAAAACCAACCTAGGTCGATTTTATTTTCATTGAGCAAAACTCTTTAAGTTGAACGTAAGATCTTGCAGCTATCAACCATGTGACACAAACTGTCATCAGAGTTGGGTCGAAGATTGGGTCTTAAAGTGGGGTTTATGACTCGAGCCGAAGTTTTTAAATCGCGGCCTCAGAGGAGTTATGTTTGAAAACATCTCACATTTCAATCTTACTTACAATTTACTTTAGTTTGACCTGCTTACAATTTGTACTGGCCCTGCCTGATGGACGACAAGTTGTACATCGTGTCAAATACAAGTACGTACCATGTGTACATTGTAAATTGTACAATTCATTAATAGATTAAAAAAGACATTGCTCGAGTCTCATTCATCTCATATTACTGAAAACTCCGATTCATTGAACGGACCGATCCAAGGTAATAATGCAAGGAAAGTTAATTGCAGTAGCGTATTCTCTGTGTACATATTGAAACCAGTTCTCTCTGGGCGGAATTTGTAAACAAGAATAGATGCATCAGTGTTCGTTAGTATTCGAGGAGGTTAAAAGCATTTAATTTTGATAATTTTGAAAATTCACATAATGGTTTCCTATGACCAGAATATTTCATAGATTATTTATGTGAAAATGGATTCCATGTTAGGCTGCGACATCCGTCTTGTGTTTACTTCTCCGCCCAAAGACAGTACACTGCAGTACAAAAAATGCGTACACCTCTGAAATAACTTTCCTTGCATTAGTGCCTATGGACCGATGTAACTTTTAGGCAAATAGATCAAATTGTACTGTACAGATACAGACTATAGACGGCAAAACAGTACAGTACACCAAATTATTTATCTCCTTCTGGTAAAAGTAATGTAAAATATGTATACATTTAAATAAGAGTGAGCTTAGAAAGAACACACAAATACGCAACAAATAGTAATGAAATGAATTATCATTTATTTAACATAGAGAATAAAGATTTAAACGTAGATTTAAATGGCTGCAACAAGAATTATCCGAAACTAGAAGCAGAAAAAATCTAAAAGAAAGAAGTGGGAAGAGTAATTGAAAATCAGATGAAAACTGAGGGTTGCGTGGGAGACAGGTAAAGTTAATCAAAAGCCAGGTTTTATTAAAAGATGAAGAGACAAAATTGGAATATAGCGCACTAGAACAGTCACGTCACGTGTACATGTAGTTTGAAGGATTAAGATTTGTTTAAAAATCTATCAAAAATGTAGAGTCCAAGGTACGTTTACTTTCATTTAATGTAATAACTCTTTTATTTTCAATCAAGGAAATACAAATAGTTCTACAGTTCTCTCACGTAATATTTTTCACGAGAAAATAATTGGTTTTCAATATAGGAATCAAGGACAGAAATGTATTGATATCGATAAAATGCTCAGTATTTTGCTATAAAAAGTATAAATATATTCACTATGCAGTATACACTGGTACCATTTACGAAGTTTTTTTTAATGTTTATGAATTGTATTGTTTATAAATGCTCTGTTTATGAAATGCTCTATTTATGAAATGTCCTGTCTATAAAATTTCCAGTTTATGAAATGCCCTGTTTATGAAATTCTCTGTTTATGAAATGCCCTGTTTATGAAATGCTCTGTTTATGAAATGCTCTGTTTATGAAATGCCCTGTTTATGAAATCTGTTTATGAAATGCTCTGTTTATGAAATGCTCTGTTTATGAAATGCTCTGTTTATGAAATGCTCTGTTTATAAAATGCCCTGTTTATGAAATGCCCTGTTTATGAAATGCTCTGTTTATGAAATGCTCTGTTTATGAAATGCCCTGTTTATGGAATGCCCTGTTTATGAAATGCCCTGTTTATGAAATGTCCTGTTTATACAATTTCCTGTTTATGAAATGCCCTGTTTATGAAATATCCTGCTTAAAAAATGCCCTGTTTATGAAATGCCCTGTTTATGAAATGTCCTGTTTATGAAATGTCCTGTTTATGAAATTTCCTGTTTATGAAATGTCCTGTTTATAAAATTTCCTGTTTATGAAATGCCCTGTTTATGAAATATCCTGCTTATAAAATGCCCTGTTTATGAAATGCCCTGTTTATGAAATGCCCTGTTTATGAAATGTCCTGTTTATAAAATGTCCTGTTTATGGAATGTCCTGTTTATAAAATGCCCTGTTTATGAAATGCCCTGTTTATGAAATGCCCTGTTTATGAAATGCCCTGTTTATGAAATGCTCTGTCTGTTTATGAAATGCCCTGTTTATGAAATGCCCTGTTTATGAAATGCCCTGTTTATGAAATGTCTTGTTTATGAAATGTCCTGTTTATAAAATTTCCTGTTTATGAAATGCCCTGTTTATGAAATGCCCTGTTTATGAAATGTCTTGTTTATGAAATGTCCTGTTTATAAAATTTCCTGTTTATGAAATGTCCTGCTTATAAAATGCCCTGTTCATGAAATGCCCTGTTTATGAAATGTCCTGTTTATGAAATGTCCTGCTTATAAAATGCCCTGTTCATGAAATGCCCTGTTTATGAAATGTCCTTCCTGTTTATAAAATGCCCTGTTTATAAAATGCCCTGTTCATGAAATGCCCTGTTTATGAAATGTCCTGTTTATGAAATGTCCTGCTTATAAAATGCCCTGTTCATGAAATGCCCTGTTCATGAAATGTCCTGTTTATGAAATGTCCTGTTTATGGAATTCAAAAGTGTTGAGCTCCAATCTATTAAATCAAATAGTATATCACCCTCTTTCTCCCCTTAGACCTGAGATATATCAGTGCAATCCTGGCATATATCTAGAATACATGAATATTCAATATATAATTTAGAAATTAAATATATATCTATATATCACACTTCTACTGACTGTACTAGTGTATAGATCCAAGCATATTTATAGGAAAATATTACATGGGGAAAAAATATTATTAGCCCATCATATGGTATAAATATATATATAGCCATAATATCACCTATGATAAATTACTTGGAGGTAAATTAAATATATATTAGTGCAATATATATTACTGAAAATTTCGGTTTATTTCAAGTACCAAGCCGACTTTTAAGTAGCTAGAAAAATTTGTTTATAATATAGACGGCAACACCAAATAAATCTTCGTCTTCTTGTCAGGTTATTCTTATAATTTACCAGGTAAACTGTTAAACGGATAAAAGTCACGAAGGTAAAGGAAATCATTTGTTTAGTTTGATTACAAAATTAGTTTAGTTTGATTACAAAATTAGTTTAGCTTGATTACAAAATTAGTTTAGCTTGATTGCAAAATTAGTTTAGCTTGATTACAAAATTAGTTTAGTTTGATTACAAAATTTGTTTAGCTTGATTACAAAATGAATTTAGCTTGATTACGAAGTTTGTTTAGCTTGATTACAAAATTAGTTAATTTTTATTACAAAATTAATTTAGCTCGATTACAAAATTAGTTTAGCTTTATTACAAAATCAGTTTTAGCTGACTACAAAATTTGTTTAATTCGATTTCTAAATTTGTTCAGATTGGGTAAAAAATAAAATGCACCTTTTGCCATCTTAAATACCACTCTTAGTCTCTGTGCAACAACTTAAGTAGTATATTTTTATTTAAATTGAGCGTGTCATGTAAATCTGCTGAAAATTGCAATTTTGATAAATTGCAATTATAATAAATTACACGCATTTCTACCTTTGCATAATTTACTTCAAGAAGCCGAATAACTGACAAATATCCAGATCTAGAATTGCAATGCAAGTAGTTGCAGGGTGTCTTGATATCATTGAAATGGGACAAAAAACAATTCGAAAAGATTGAATTTGCCATTTTTCATCGACAAACTGAAACCAAAGCTACGTTTAGATTTGTCACGTCAATGTCAATTTATGTCGTAGTTTAATTACGTCAATTATCATAATTAAAAACTGCAAAAATTATAATTTTTAAGAGGAATATTATTTTTGGACACTCTGTATATTAAACGCCCAAGTATGGTAGTGAGACCCAGCAATAAACTTGGCATAATAACATTGAATGCGTACACAGGGTGTCAAAAATAATGTTCAGCTCTCTCCACAACATTTACAAAAGAACCATAAAAACTAGCACGTATTTCAACAAAATAAAATGTCTGTAAAATTTTTTTTAATATTTTTTTTGTGACACCTCGTATTTTTAAGGTAGAGCTACGTACCTAAACTATGTAGATATGTATTTCAATATTTAATCTCTACTCCATACTTATATATAATGTTCTATAGACAACGCCCTAACTAATCATTTAACAAGCCTAAGTAGAATCTGACTAAATTACTTAACCCTCTTTTAACTTCAAAGCTAATCCTCCCTTTTTTCAATGTTGGGAACATGCGAATTTCTTATGATATACAGGTATATTTCTATCTTTATCAAATCATAACATGATATATCAACAAAAAATTATTTGGCAGTAAGTGATAAAAATTAACACATATGGAAGGCTTAGATTCGATATTTAAGTTATATCAAGTCAGAGAGAAAATATCATTAATATAAAATAAGATTAATTCCAGATACTAGGATACACCTAGGATACACTAGGATTTAATTACACAAAAATATAAACGTGTACTAGATCTATAAACTATAAAATATCCATGTACTAGGATACACTAGTATCCGGTTACTAGGATATCATACAATAGAATCCGTGTACCATCATACACTATAGTATCTTGGTACTAGAGCTGGAAACTTTAGAATGAGATATCTTTAATCCCGATTACTTAATCTGAGTATCCAATGGACAAACTTTTGATTTTCTTCCTAAACCATTCTTTCTTGGATATAGAAGAGAAAAATCAAAACCCTATTTTTCTAAATTAGAGAGTTCCTCCCATTTCTGTATAAATCTTAAATGGCGCGTAAAATTTCAAATTCAGCGGCTGTATATACATGACTCTGATTGGTTGAATTGTATACACTTTTCAGGATACAAGTACAAGATTAGGTTAGTCTCGATATTAAGAAAAAGAGAGGATCACGCATTAATCTCGATATCCACCATTCTAAAGTTTTTAGCTTTTTAGCTAGGATTCACTAGTATCCGGGTACTAGGATACACTAGTATCCGGGTACTAGGATACGCTAGTATCCGGGTACTAGGATACACTAGTATCCGGGCACTAGGATACGCAAGTATCCGGGTACTAGGATACACTAGTTTCCGGGTACTAGGATACACTAGTATCCGGGTACTAGGATACGCTAGTATCCGGGTACTAGGATACACTAATATCAGGATACTAGGATACACTAGTATCCGGGTACTAGGCTACACTAGTATCCGGGTACTAGGATACACTAGTATCCGGGTACTAAGATACACTAGTATCCGGGTACTAGGATACACTAGCATCCGGGTTCTAGGATACATTAGTATCCGGGTACTAGATACACTAGTATCCGGGTACTAGGATACATTAGTATCCGGGTACTAGGATACACTAGTATCCGGGTACTAGGATACATTAGTATCCGGGTACTAGGATACACTAGCACCCGGATACTAGGATACACTTGTATCTGGGTACAAGGATACACTAGTACCCGACTACTAGAATACATTAGTATCCCGGTACTAGGATACATTAGTATCCGGGTACTAGGATACACTGGTATCCGGGTACTAGGATACATTAGTATCCGGGTACTAGGATACTTTAGTATCCGGGTACTAGGATACATTAGTATCCGGGTACTAGGATACACTAGTATCCGGGTACTAGGATACATTAGTATCCGGGTACTAGGATACATTAGTATCCGGGTACTAGGAACCACTAGTATCCGGGTACTAGGATACATTAGTATCCGGGTACTAGGATACACCAGTATCCGGGTACTAGGATACACTAGTATCCGGGTACTAAGATACACTAGTATCCGAGTACTAGTATCTCAGAACTACAGTACTGCTATGTACCAGCAGGTGGCAAAAGGAACAGCAACAGAATGATTAAGTGCAGGTTGTCCTAGAAGAGCAATGAAAAAAACTGATTTTAAAAAAAAGTAAATCAAGGAATTTGAAGTTTATTTTCTTCTGAAAGATATCACAAGGTAAGAATTGAA